GGGTGTATGTCTACCAGCTCTTGCTCTTTCCTAAGACACGGCCACACACTTATACACTCTGCCTCTCTGCACTGAAGAAAACATCCCTTACATATTCAAATGCATAAAAGAGACAAATGGACTTGTCTTCCACAGCCTCTTTAAGCCTTACATTAAAGTAAATTATTTAGGGACCATTCATCTGGTAACCTTTGCAAAACTGAAGATGGCATATACGAAGAAAAACTTCCAAGTGTTTTGCTGCCAAACTTTGTAACCAGCTGGCATGGCACCTTGAGACTGCTCAAACACACAATAACTTTGAAAAATTACAGTAAATTAAACCAGAGGAATGAAGAGAGGGTGGGGAACCTTTTGAAATCTGGGACTCTCATTTTGTAAACAGCACAGGTTTTCCTAATTTTCCCTGCTAGGATATGTAGATATTTGCAGGTTTTTGGTAAACTGTTGCCAAGAAGTCCTACAGATGTTCTAGGTTACATTTTTCCTCCAGGGGGCTTAATGCTGCTGCATCTTAAGCATGTCATGACTCTCCATCTTTTTTGTTACAGTGATAATACTTTGATCACTTCAGTTTGTGTGAAAATGAAAGCAAAAAGCATCCGAATGCAACAAAGATATGCCAGTAACTCACAGCAGCCAAACACCTGGTTAAGCAGTGAAGTATTCCAAAGAAACTAACAACTCCTGCTGTTCTGGAGAAAAAAAGGCTTATCCCTTTTCAGGGAAAAGGGATCTCAAAAAGAAAAATAAAACTACTACAATAAAGTTTAAAAATAAGAAAAAAAGAAGGTATTGGACCCTTAGTTTATAAATGAATTATCAGTTTGTCCAGGATTCTCAGAGGAGAGAAGTTTATTATTTTGAGGTATTCTCTTGTCGCTAAAGAAAGAGTCATTCAAAGCACAGCTGCTCATCTTGTCCACCATTCTTTGGTCAAAAGAACACCTATAGTTACAGCACAGAACAAGAAGTTGTTACTTTCTGAGAAAAGGAGAAAACCTTGCCAGTTTTTATTTGTTGCTTTCCTAATAAGCCTGAATCTTCTTTCAGTGTTAACTTGAATGCGACAGGGTAGGACAGAAGGAAAGTACAATAGTGTACTGATTGAAGTTTTAAATAGCAAGCAGGATGGAGATAAAGAGCTAAATATTGGCTTAACTCTGCTTCCAGTTATTTCAGTGGTGGTTTGCTCCGATCACACTGAAGTAGAGGTGCAATGCAGAGGTATTTAAAAAACAAGTAACTGTCACCAACCGTGGAAGATCTATCTGAGTGTTAAAGGATAATGTATTATTTACATCAGGTCTGAATAAAGACTAAAGAGATGTTCTGATCTTAATTTTAAAAGTAGCAAGCAGCACCTAGAGCAAAGAACTAAAACCAAGATTTTGTGAAAATTCCATTTTGCACCAAGCTAAGAGGTGGCACACAAAACCTTAAGCCTCTTCAGGAAGTCAGCCCCTAATCTTTGAGTAATAACAGGTCAGCATAACTATTGAGTTCACTCATAAAACACAGCAGTCAATGAATTTTACCCTTCCTGCAGAAAAAAGCTCTTAATCTGAAACAAACACATGAACAAATACACTTGGCAGGCAACAGCACACTGTCAAGAAGATATACTGACCCTGTGAAGCACTTAGAAGTGAAGAGAGAAATTACCTTAGCCCCATGCTGCTGCCGTTCATCATCAGAGCAAGTTCTCTGGGTGCTTCAGCAATGGGCACATCTTCTGAGCCAGCTGCGTGGCCTCTAATCCTGGAAAAGACAACTTAGTTAGCTAGTTGGCTCTGCAGCTGGTCAAATCTCCGCAGGAACTTGCCACTAAAAGGTGACCTATATGTCTACAAGCAGAGCACTTACACACATTAAATGCAGATGTTTTCACAATTGTCTTCACACTTTCAAATATACTTCTGGATTGGAAGGCTGGTTCAGGCACAGTGCCTTTGCTTCTAAGGGTTACCACTGGGACAACCTCAGCCAGTGTAACTCGGTTGAGTACCAGCATTTCAAGATTAGAAAGGGAAAACACTAGGGAAAAATCTGCAGTTTTTTTGTTAGAGAAACAGAAAATTTCATTTACAGAATACAGCACCAGAGCTCAAAGGCATCATGTGTAAGCCACATAGAACAGAATTTATGTAAGATGGTTGTGTGTCCTCAAACTGTGGGCTCACAAATGATGTTCCACCTTTAGATAACTCCACTCTCCTTTTTCTCTAACAAAGACAGAAAAGTCAAGGCAGAGCTTTTATGAACATCACAGTATATCAGGCACATACATTTCTTTTGCTAGAACTGCACATTAATTTCAATAACAAACTGAATTTAAGCTCCTCCTGCCTTTGGGACCTTCCACAGATATATGGGGCTTTTTAATTTTGACTAAAATTCCCGTTTCTAAGCTTTGCTGTTACTGGTCTGCTCCAGTGAGGCTTGAACCAGGAGGAACCAGTGAAATGCACATACACACACCATTTTTGACAGCAGAGCAACTATTTCACTTACAGAGTAATTGCAAACTGAGAGTACTATGGTCACGTGAGACTAAATACAGAAATGTGGAAAATTAAAAGCAGTTATGATGCAGTGTGGCAAAAAAAAGAATCAATTCACATTTTAGCTAAAAGATTAGAAAAGTTAATTGCCAATAACTGCAAATGGTCAAACCTCTTATCTGTCATTCAATGACAATGGATCTTAACCAGCACTCTATCCAGGCAGAAGGACAGACAAAAATAAACACTTATCTGGAAAAGGATTTTTCTTGTGTTGTTTTTTATACTGTTATCATGTTCTAACCGAGTTAGAACCTCCTGACAATGAAGAAAAGGGTATTTGAGCTTAGCTAAACAAATTTTTATTGTTAGCAGTATATAAAATTACCCTGTTACCAAGTGCAAAAGTGAATTATATATCTGGAACTGAAACAGAACTGTGATGCCTAAGAGATTTACCTCTAAATATCAAATATTTAATTCTAAAGATACTGAAATATTTTTAAGAGAAAGCACATTATATTCTAGTTGTTTTCTTAGAGAGAATATGGCAATCTGACTTCACATGCACTTTTGAAAACAGATCACAAAAATACAAAGTCCTCAGATTGATCATATATGATTTTTTTCCATAGAATTCTTTTTAGGTAACTAAAGCTCTGTAAACCATAAAGGGTTTTTTTCAGGAAAAAAAAAAAAGTAGCTATAATAGATATAATGGTACTAACAACCATATTACAGATATTTCAGGTGCATTTTTTTCTGAACTTAAGCCTCCAAACCTGAAAAATTTCCATTAGAAAAAAAATCCACCAAAAACTCAGTTTGTATGTCCTTCATATCTACTTGTTTTTCATTAGAGGGATGCATGCATAGAATTAAGGCATTTGATGATTAAGAATCCATCTGTTCCTACTTAATTCTCACCTGAAGTCATAATCCTTTGTTAGCTACCTCAGTCATTTTCAACACACACATTTGTGATTTTCCTCTAAGACAGGTACTTTTAAAGCCACATAAATACATTATTTTCAATGTAAACAACAATCCAAGGAGACAAACGAAAGACCACCTAGATTACAGCACTCTCTTTTTAGTTTGAAAAGGGACCGGGAGGCTGAAATGAGGAAGGGAAAGTGATGTATTCCTCCATGGTGGTCATGGTACACAGATGTAGGAAGTGGGGTCATCTAATGCACACTCTCATGGGGTGCTGCCAGCAGCTGCCATACTAAAACAGTATAGAAATATCCATGCCTGTGAAACACTCCTACGCCTCTTCCAAAACACTGCAGATTTTTCCCTATTGTTTTTCCTTTCTAATGCTGAAATGCCAGTACTCAGCTGAGTTACACTGGCTAATTTAACCTGTTTCCATTCACTGGTCTGCTCACTTTAATAACATCATACCAAAAAAACAGTTGTTCCCTCTTTCTCAAAGACTCTATTTACATTGTCAGAAAAGTGTTACCTTCTGCAACAAGCCCACAGGCCTTCATGCCACATCTCACGTTTCTATGGCTGATCCATCTTCCTTCAAGTTTTAAGCACATATTGTGCCTCAGTCTTGGCATTCTCCCTTTTCACTCACATTACTGGAAAGAAAATGTCTGAGCTCCCTCTTCCATAAATATATGGGGGAAAAATATATATTCCATATACAAAAATATATACATGCACACACATAGATGTGTGTGTGTATATATACGTAATGATCTCCATATTTTCTGTAAAACACACACCTCCCAGTCCTGCCCTAGGAAAGTGCAACACTTGAAAACTGATCTTTCCAAGGAAAGAAGGGGAAATGCCACATCTATGTCATCCATAGTCACACTGCCCTCTTGCCAAATGTCTTTATTCCTCTCAAGTGCCTGCACTAAGATCAGCCTCTCATTTTCTTCTACTGCTTCTCTTTTCCAACCTAGTCTTTCAGTCTTTTCTTCTGCCTTTCTTTCTACCACATACTGTTTTCCTCTGCTTCTTTCCACAGCTGCCATGCTGCTTCCCAACAGTATACACTAACATACTGAAGTCTCTCCTCCTCTGAATCACTCTCAGAAATTGTGCCATAAACCCTGCCTGTCTTGTTTTATTCTATTATTGCCTTTGTTCTATTCTCCCACTTAAATCAACTATTGCCCATGTGCTCATTAGAAATTTTAGAATTTTTTTTTTTAAACTCTAAGTCTCAATAATCACCTGTTATAATCCAGATGGGATTGGTGTAGTTGCTGTTGTTTTAGGAGCAGTTTTGCTTCTTGCTTAGTCAATAAATGTTGGAGTCGTTCCTTTTCAATTTCCAGCTCCATTTTTTGAAGAAGCAGCTTCTGCCTTGTTTCTTCATACAACCTTTTGGCCAGCTCTGTTTCCTTAGGCCCTGAGTCCACACTGTGATTCAGCCCAGAACCTCGACAGTGCCTGGAATGATCACAGGTTTTGTGAACTGTCCCAGACTGTTTTCTAAGTATCTGGCTGACATAGCAGCTCTCTTCCACACTCCCTGAGCTCCCCACATGCCTCCAGGCATGTGAGCCATGACTCACTTGCTGAGGGCACGTGCTCTGAAATTCACTTGCTCTGTGGTCCATCTCCTGAGCTTGCTTTACATGGTGAGGGCTCCTCTGCTTGACTGGGGAAATCACGTTGTTGCACTTTCTGTGCAACTCATTTTCCATTGGATACTCCTTCAGACATTCCTGATGGGTGTAATGCATTTCAGTCCTGTAATCATGGTTATTCCTGCAAGGCTGGGACAGCACAACACGGGCTGGGCTTCCAGCCTTCGATGCTCTACTGTTCTGATGAAGAGTCCATGGTCCCCCAACATCCAAGTAGGATCTGTCCAGCCCCAAAGAGGGCTGTTGGCACATGCTCTTCTTAGTGGATACCTGCAATAGGAGAAACAATTTCCTGTAAATCACTAAAATTAATCTTTGTTCACCATTTTCCCTTGGCTAATGTGTTCTCTCCGAAACTTTTGGTCTATGTTGATGGACTTACAGCCAAACACGATAAAATGTTTACCAGAACAGAGACACAAATCTGCTATCAAATCTACATTTCATTTCATCTACACAAGTGTAATAAATGTAAAACTGCTGTCTGCAGGATCCTCAGCATAAAATGAGTCACTTCAGAGTATAAAGTAGTTGTGAGCATCTAGGGTTACATAAAATCAACTTGAAGAGTGGCAAAAAACCTTAAATGTTAAGGTTTGAAAATGTTTAATTTTGAATACTGAGCCAAAAAATCCATTCAGCCACTATAAATACTCTTTGATTGGCTATTACACAGCAGGAGATTTGATGTAAAACATTTCACCTTGCACTGAATGGTATATTACTTACCGCTGGAAATTTGATGAGAGTTTTTGAAATATCTTTACAGAAACACAGATAAAAACCAACTACTTTCTGTAAAAAATGGTTGTACATCAAAAGCTGTCATTTAAATACAAAACATGTTTAAATGCAGCTATAAACGTAAGTGATTTTTCAATTAAGCTGGGCAAGTGATTATAGTCTGATAAAACTCTGAAGAAAGCAAGCAACTGTAATTCACATTTGTCAACCCAGTACAAGCAAAGTCTAGTGGTTTTGTTATAGTCATGGATATTATATAATAGACATCACAATCCTAGTTACATCGTGGAGTATCTTTGCACTAAGGTTCATCTATGTAGTTAAGTATTTGAGCTTTTATGAACATCACAGTGTATCAGGCACATACATTTCTTTTGCTAGAACCGCACATTAATTTCAGTAACAAACTGAATTTAAGCTCCTCCAGCCTTTGGGACCTTCCACAGATATATGGGGCTTTTTAATTACAGAAGCCAGATTTGTTAAAGATAGCAAAACCACTGCAGTGTAAGTGGTTTAGAAGAGAAATTTGGAACCCACTGATGAAAAAAAAATTATTTGCCCTCTGGGAATGCTTACAATAGATAGGTATTGTGCACATAGAGTGCAAGACAGTCAGCCAGACCCGAAACACTCAAATTTAAGAATGCAAGCAAGTGTCCAGCAATGATTAGAAGAGAGATATAGTACAAACCTATGCAGCATTTATATGTATAATTTAGATTCTCTTTTAATAAATAAACAAAATACCAAATATACTCAGCTGCCCTTCAAGACAACCAATTACAAGTTTCTTGTAGACTTCACAGAATGTAAATTAATGTGGATTAGCACCTGAATACTGATATTTTATTATTTCCAGTTTTGTGCATACAAATATATCTTCTCTGCCATGTGATTGAAAGCCAAAGATGTCATGTTTTGCCCCAAAGGGCCCAGTGAGTTGGAGGCATTTGCATTAATGTCAGTGCTAAATGTCTGAGGAAAGTCTGGTGCTTGGACTGGGTGAAAAGTGCAGGACACTAAAATATTTTAAAGTCAGAGAGGCTGGCAGGGCAACTGAGCAGAAATGCAACATGCTGCCAAAAAGACGGAGTTTTGTTATTTATTATTTGTAGCATGCCATCCTTGTCAGCAATATTTTCTAGACACATAAAGGCTACAGAGCCCTTTTAATAGGAATTAGACAATACAGAAAAGGATGACGCAGTCTCTCATTTCCCACATCACCTGCTCCTGGTTATAGAGCTGGTGATAGAGCCTACAGGAAGAGGCTTTCAAGGTGGAGGGTTTCCCAGTCCCCATGGACAGCAAGTGGTCTCACACTTGAAGATATTCTTAGAGCATCCTATCAGGGCTGGCAGTGTAGGGTGGTCACAGAAAGCAAATATCTGTCTTTCTGCAGCCCATAAAGAGTAGTTAAAAAGAACACACATAAAAAAAGGAAACTCAAAAGATGAAATGTCTGAGAACATCTTTATTTTAGCAGTTTTGTTAACTGAAGAGACAAGAGAATGTTAAGAAATCTAAGCACATGAATGAAGATGTTACAAAATAATAATCAGGTTTAAGAATAAAGGTCCACATTGCAAATTAACTTCATGGTTGAGACTCTATTAAGAGTCCCTGAAGGCCCTAAAAGAGAGGTACCAGTTAGCATTTGTTGACCTTGGCTGCCATTAAGTCTGCCCTGATGGTCTCAGAAATGGCATTGACATTTAAAGACTTCATAACAAGGCAGAGAAACTTTAATGTTATTTCACAGTTACAATATGTTTGCAGGGGGGAAAATTCTCATTAATGTCGTTGAATGTGAGTGGGATTTTCTTATTCCTTTAGAAGGAGGAGGTCATGTTAGGTGGAAGACTGAGTTCCAACATGCCTTTGATGGCTACTTTGCATGGTCTAACTCCTAAGAAAAAATTAACTACTGGCAGTCAGAAACTAGTCAACAACTTTTTTAGTAATTTATGGGTTTTCTGCTAAAGCCTTTATTGAAAATACAGCTGGATGGGAGGCAGTGCAATGAAAATGGACTGACATTTACACAGATGAGGAGTCAGAAGAGACTCGTGTCACAGACAGATCTGTAAAGTGCAGGCCAGGTAAAGGGGAAAAGTAGAGGAAAGAAATATTCCGAAGACCCACCTACTACTGTGAGTCTAAAGACACACAAGCATAAGGAATCAGGTAATTTTACAAAGATATTGCCTATGGGACACATGGAAACCATGACGGACCATGATGAAACAGCTGTGCTTTGTCCTCCACGGAGCTCTTCCAGGCTTGCTGTGCCATATTTAAAGACACAAGTTCCTTTAACTGAGGCTTAAGCAAACTCAGACTGCTCTTTGTAAGGTAAGGAGTTAATACGCCTTGAGTAGATGTGAAACTCTTGTGAAACAAAGAGATACTAAAGATGGTCTTAATAATCTTTAGAAGGATTTAAAAATGGAGACACGTGTGGAGGTCTACTAAGTCTTTACTGCAACCCCAGTAATTTTTGCTCAGGGATTCAGCGCAGAGCTTAAACAAACATCGAGTCCTTAAAACTTCCTACGAACAGACAAACAGTGCACCAGTTTTATGCACGCAGCATTATGATCTCTGCAAATTGTTCTTAAATGCAACTTGTGTGCTTTGCAGTTCTAATTCACTACACTGGCAGAGGAAGCACAGTTACAGACGGACTCCAGCACAAAGGGCTTTGTACTGCAAGGGATGAACTAGTAACTGAGCATATCTTTAAAATATCAGCACAGGCAAGGTCTTGACATTTTATTACATGCACAAACATGTTTAAGAAACAGCCCAAAACCATTACCTTGAGAAGTCCTACACTCTGAGGGACAAAAGCTGGGGTCCCAGCGAAAGACAATGCTGTTAGGGAGCAGAACAAAACTGCTAGAGATGCTAAGAGCATCAGGAGTTTAGTTCATAGTACCCAGGTTTGAAGTTTTTAGATGAAATATATCTGAATGCAGGCAAAGGAGACAATGAAATAAAACAATTCTCAGTTGTATCTTGAGGACATTAATCTGGATTTTCAGCTCAGGAGTTTATTTTGGTGGGGTAGAAAGAATGGAAGGAATACATCGATTCAGAACTAGTCTGTTGTGCTATCTAAGTGGGGTCCCTGAAGGAAACCAAGAAGAATGAACAGAAGCAGCAACCAGAGGAGAAATACAGAGAATTAAAGATTTTTAAAGATGACACAGAGACTACCACACATGGAAACACCTTCAAGAGCACCTAGGGCACATACTTAAAATTCTTCACCAGTGTAGTTCTTCAGACATGGTCAAAAACGAGTTTTAGTGATGGACTTGGCAGTGCTGGGTTAATGGTTGGACTCAGAGGTGGTTCCAGCCTAAACAATTCTGTGATTCCATCAGTGACACAGCTAGCACTCTCACTAAGGTATACAGCCTAAACCTGGAACTCAGTCACCACTCTGAATGGTTGATATATGGGTCTCATCTGAATAAAGCTTGGCTTTCGGTTTCAGGTCCATCGACATTATAAGTACTTGCTTTTGTCAGCAAAATGAGGAGGATGTATTATAAATAAGCTCAGACATTGGGGCAACAGAAATGCTGTTTTTAAGAACAATTACATCAAATTATAGGACTGTTTGAAGTATGTTACTAGTGATTAAGGAGCTACTCTTTCCAAGATTCTGTAAGAATTTATCAGGAAGAATGAAAAAGCATAAAGATTTTAAAGCGTATTAGTAGGATCTACTGAAGTCTATAAATTTTTTCTTTAACTCATATAATCGTTTGTTAAAATCTGTACCATAAATAACCCAATATCAGTTATTACAAAGTGCCATGCAGTAGTACAGCAACTGTCTCTGTCACTACCTAAGATAAATATAGTAGATAACTCCTAAGGTAAGACGACCATTTTTCAAGCAAGAAACAAAGCACTATTTTCTGTAGAAATTATGTATAGCTATGATTGCCATATTCCACTGAATAAAACAAGTGGTCTCAAATGACAGTCACCAACCTGTATTTTTCCTGTAAAAATCTACTGAACTCAACATACTGAACAGGCGTAGCTAAAAAAAAGTAATATCACATCACAAAAAAGCAAATCTATAGCTGCTAGCTGACAGCAGAGGAACACCTCCTATGTTTGTTCTGCCTTCAGTATTTTTTCTCCTCTTTGTTAAGAGGGTTTGAGCTGGCATGCCAGGTGCACAGAAAACCTGCATTCAAAGTAGCATGCGAGCATTTGCTGGCACTTAGCTTTAAGTGTATATTTTGCATTCATAAACATGCCACCCTTCTTCTCCAGCTACCCAAACACTGTAGATAATCTCTAACAAAAGCTCCAATTTCAGATCAGCAGACTGGTTTTATGCTGCCTGATAAGGCAGTTAATAATACAGTGCTCCAAGAAAACTGAAGAGAGGTGTCTGCGTGCCGAGTCTTGGAAGTCACTGCAAGCAAAATGTCCATTTAAGTCCACACGGTACCCACACGAGGCACTGCAGTGCCTGGCCACTAAATTTAAGC